AAAAAAAAAAAAAAAAAAAAAAATTATTAATCATATAGAGTTGAACAACACAATGAAATGCACTTGACCTAAAGGACACTTACAAGACATTTACACTATAATTGCAGGCTATAATTTTTTTTCCCAAACACACAAGGGAAGTTCACAGAAATTTGCCATATGGTAGGTCATAAATAAGTCTCAATAAATTGCAAAATATGAAGTAATTCCAAGTATTTCCCTGGGGAAAAAGTAACAAAGAGATAACTAAAAAAATCCTCATATGCTTGAAAATTGAAAGAAATCATGATGGAAATTAGAATAAAAAATGTGAAAACATTATTTTCCCCCAAATTGATCTACAGATTCAATGCAATCTCCCTGCCACAACCAAAAAAAAGAAAGAAAATAACAATAGTCTTTTTTTCTTTTGTGGAAATTTACAAGCTGATTCTAAAGATTTTATGGACAGGCAAATGTATAAACATAACCAAGACATTCTTGAATAAAAACAAACTGGGAGGACTTGCTCTACTGGATATTAAAACTCATTAGTCCGGGCGTGGTAGCTCACTGCAACCTCTGTAATCCCAGCATTTTGAGAGGCTAAGGTGGGAGGATCATTTGAGGTCAGGAGTTCAAGACCAGCCTGAACAACATGGTGAAACCCCATCTGTAATAAAAATACAAAAATTAGCCAGGCATAGTGGTGCACACCTGTAATCTCAGCTACTTGGGTGGCTGAGGCACGAGAATCGCTTGAGCCTGAGAGGTGGAGGTTGCAGTGAGCTGAGATGGCACCACCGCACTCCACTCTGGGTGACAGAGTGAGATTCTGTATCGACAACAACAATAACAAGACAAATTATAATGATTAAAGTAATTTCCACAAAAGTCAGGGTAGTTTTTCCTTTGAAGGGAAAGGAGGAGGTAATAATTGAAAGGCATCATAAGGGCCACTTCTGGAATTCTGGCGATGTCTAGTTCTTGATTTTACTTGGGTGTTTGCTTTGTGATAAATCACGGAGCTTGACATTTTTGTTTTGTGCACTCTTTGGTAGGTGAGTTATATAGTTCATAATAAAAAAAGGTTTTACACACACACATTTAACGCCATTAAACGTTAAACACCTAGCTTTGTGCCCGGCACATAATAGATGCTCAAGAACACAAAATTGCTTCTCTTTCACCATTCCTTTTTTCTTTCTAGCAGAGAAAAAAGAAAAATGTGAATTTCATAAACACTTTCCTAGCACATGCACAATCTTTCTTGCTTTCTTGCAACAATCTCACTGTCATGGCAACTGCAATTAAAGGTGGAGCCTGTGGAGAGAAGGAGAGATAGGAGCACAACAGCCTGAACTTGATTACCTCTGTGCAAGAGGAAATTCTCACTGATAACTGAATCGCTGGAACCCAAAGCCTAAAGTACCCATTAACGCATAATATGTTGATTGCTTTATATTTTATTTTCCCTTCCAACACAACATAGCAAAACCTTTGTTTAAACGCTTCCCTTTACTGCAGGTTGCAGTTAAGCCTGTAATCACTGGGTGAATGTTTATAGAGCCAGACATTCTTTGTGTGTCAGAGAAACTAGAGGCCAGCAGTGGAGGTATTGTCTTGCAAGCGGCTGCGATGCAGGAAGAATGTAGCTGGGTGGGGCTGGGTGACAGGCACAGCGGGCTGTGGGCTGTGGGCTGTGTGGATCCCAGGGGCAGGCATGCTCCAGCAGGATGTCTGCGCCTGCTCTCATGCCTCAGCTCCTTCCCACAGCCACCTGACATGTTTGGAGCTGGGGTAAAGGCTAATGATACTTGGGGAGAAGACTTCAATTCTATCAGCTGAGAAATCAAAGACATCCAAAAATCAAGGAGATGCCTAAGACCACTTTAAAATGATCTCTGCCCAGGTTCCCCCAACTCTCTGAAGCACACAACCAGCTCGCCTGAAAATTACCAACTTGAAAAGATATGAAATAATAGATTTCTGGGTCTGAAAATGATCAACAAGTCTAAAAGGCCAAAAATTGAAAGCACAAAGGACATCGGGGGCTTATTTTCAGCTGATATTGAAATTTTTCCTTGTGACCTCAAAGGAAATTCTACTTTTAGCAGAGATTTGCTCTGCAAGGGGGATTAGACTAGAATTCCTTACGGACTGGGAAGGAGGTAGAAGACGGGGGAAGGGAATCGGGAGAGGACATCCGTGCCCCATGTTTTTAGACCTGTGGAATTAGGCAAGAGGCATTCTGCTGGTTTGGTAGAAGTGGGAATCTCTGAAGACTAGATTATGTATAATTAATTCATATAGTTATTGAGGAGTGATAGTATGCCTGTGCTGCGGCAGGTGCAGGAGTTACACCAGAAAACCAGAGTGGCTGTGTCCCTCACCACATGAAGTCTATGAACAGAAGGGCAATGGGGCACATTGGTAGACTCCAACTGGGCCAGAGAATTTACAGGCTAAGATAACCTCCAGTTCCTCCATTTCTATTGTTTTCAGAAGTCTGGCAAAGGGAAACAAGGTGTGGAAAAACAAGAGAAGAAAGCTGTTGTACTTCTACCTGTCTCCACAAGGACCCCACCTGTACACAGGAAAGATGGACAAGGTAGGAAGTCCTAACCAGAGCAATTAGGCAAGAGAAAAAAAGGTCGGGGCAGTGGGGGGGAGGGGCACCTGAATTGAAAAAAGGAAGTCAAACAATCTCTGCCAGTGATGTAGTCTTATAGCTAGAAAACCCTAAATACTCTTTCAAAAGACTCCTTGATTTGATAGATGCATTCAGTAAAGTCTCAGTTTACAAAATCAAAGTATGTAAATCAGTGGCACTGATATACACCATTAAAGACCAAGTTGAGAATCAAATTAAGAACTCAACCCCACTTACAATAGCTGCAAAAACAAAAACACAAACAAAAAACCATAAACACAAACACTAACTTAGGAATATACTTAACCAAGGAGGTGAAAGACCTCTGCAAGGAGAACAGCTGAACACTGATGAAATAAATCATAAATGGCTGGGTGTGGTTCCTCACACCTGTAATCCCACCACTTTGGGAGGCTGAGGCAGGTGGATCACCTGAGGAGCTGGAGACCAGCCTGGCCAACATGGTGAAACTCCATCTCTATTAAAAATATAAAAATTACCTGGACACGGTGGCGGGTGCCTGTAATCCCAGCTACTTGGGAGGCTGAGGCACAAGAATCACTTGAACCTGGGAGGCAGAGCTTGCAGTGAGCCAAGATCATGTCATTGCACTCCAGCCTGGGTGATAGAATGAAACTATGTCTCAAAAAAAAAAAAAGAAAGAAAGAAAAAAAATCATACCATGGAGGGCAATGGAAATTATTACAACTTCTATAGGAAACAGTATAGAGATTTCTCAAAGAACTAAAAGTAGATCTGCCATTCAATCCAGCAATCCTGCTCCTGGGTATCTACTTAAAGGAAAAGAAGTCATTATATCAAAAAGACACCTGCACATGTATGTTTATAATAGCACAATTCACAATTGCAAAGATATGGAATTGACCTAAGTATGTATCAAGTGGTGAGCAGATAAAGAAAATGTGTGTGTGTGTGTGTGTCCGTCCCTTGGCAATCTTCATTCCTCACTGATTCCTCATTAGCAAAGCAGCAAAAACCCTCATCACAGCGATTCCAATCCCATTACTGTGATGCTCATTGCCAAATTTATGAGCATTACATTATAAGCATTACTAACGTGTCCTCTGTAATCCTTCTATGTGACGCCATCGTCAATACTTACGAAATGCTTTTAACCAAATTAGAGCAAAGAGAGCTTTCACATTTAGAGGGGGATATGTGGGGCTGTCTCCTTTCCCAAGCCAAACTCATTGTTCCTACACAGGTTCTCACAGGTGGTCCATAGGCACCTTGGGTAGGACCCTAGTCAGTGTGAAAAGCTGAGCAAAGCAGAGATTTTCTAAGCCCTCGAGTCTGGCAGGACTGCAGTACACAGATGTGCCCTGGTCATAGACTGCCGCATGGGGGGATCTTACTCTCCAATGCGTAAGTCTTTTCGCCATTGAGTTGTAGAATTATTAAAGACTGGAATTGCCACTATTCCTTTTTATTTCTCCCTGGATACCTAGAACTAATTTGTTCACTAAATTCTTGTCCATAGAACAATTCAACAGATATCCACCAAATGTTTATTGGATGGCTCCTGTGTGACAGGCACTGTGCTAAATAAACAGATGTTTTTGAAGGTCCAAGGGACTCCCCAGACAGGTCTTTCCATGACAACGCTGTTATCAAATGCTTTTCAAAACACAGCCCATCAGATCTTGGTTTATTCCTAGAATAGCTGCACCCTTGAAGTGACAGGGGAGGGCGGCAATCTCCACCTTCACAAAGGCCAGCTCTAGCCCAGTGTCCATTGAGGGCTGGGCCAGTCCTTGTCCGAGTGAATCATGGTCTGTGGCTCAGCTCAACAGGCTACAAGCAAGTTGCTGCCACAATTTGTATGGACCAGTAGGGGACCAAAGTCACTCAAAGACAAAGCTTAAGGGTTTTACTGGTTTATTGTGAATCGAATTGCTTTTTGAGATTCTGGTAGTGAGAGGAGAAGGTACAGTGGGAGGGATAGGGTGTTAGAAAAACAGAGAGTCCAGCGAGGGGAGCATTTCAGAGTGACATCAAAACTGTGTCAAGTGTCCTCTTGAATGGTTGTAAAGGTCAGAGCAGCACTTACACACTTTGTCCCTTTGATAGAGGGAATGAAACAGAAAACTTGAATGTGGTTATCTTGGCTGTTCTTAGAAAACAATCCTAGAAATGCCTCCTGCTGGCCAGCCTGGTTCCTGCCCCACTTTCGGAGTTCTGACCTGTAGATACCTGAGCAGACCCAAGCAGGCTCTATGCAGACAGAACCGCCTCCTGGGTGTACTTTCCAGGAAGCCAGGTATTCAGAAACACGGTACAGCATCCTCTGAACCTGTACGGATGTCCTGAAAGGTGTTGCCAGGCCAAGGTCTTGCTATGCTGACCAGAGATTTCCTGGAAAGCTGTTGTCCCGCCTGCAGAATGCCGGCAGAGCGGCTCTGCAGATGGCTCCTCTCTGGCCTCCTCTCTTTATCCATGTCCCAGGGCGAGGTGGCCATCAGTCTTTGCTCTGACCCTCTTCTGCCCACAGTGATGACCTCCTGCTAGATCTCTGCAAGAATTCAGAACTTCCCTGAACCAGAATTAATTGTGGCATTGGCAGAAAGTTGAATCTCTATACACCAAATGGAAGGAGAAACAGGTCTTGTGGTACAGCAGGCGTGGCTCCCCGAATCAGATTGGCGTTGGAGAGAGCCAGGGCCAAGAGCCTTCTGGGACAGGGTGTGAGGAATACCTCTCTTACTCCCTATGGGATGCCATGGTCAGGGATACCTTCCCTCCACAAGGCATGGAGAGATTAGAAAATTCTCCCTTGACCTCTCTGCTGCCTCAGAGGGTGACCATCTTCCTCATCCTCTGCCACAATCCACTGCAGCAAAGGGCCACACTTCCTCCCCACCTTTCTCTGGGGCTATTTAGCTTGGAAACAAGACTAACAATGAAGTAACACAGCAAAGTAAATTCCAGAGCTGGGAACCTCAAAATCTCAAGAGTTAGAGAGCCTGTTGAGGCCGTCTATTGCTACCCCTCACAGATGCAAGCGCACTGCACCACCAGGCTGAAAGACAATCTTTTTTTTTTTCTCTCTTCCTAATAAAAGAATCAAGTTTCCCTTTCTCTGGGCTACAGATTCTCAGTGGCTTTAGGCATTCCCTATACAATGTGACACCAGGTACGTGGCCAGCCATGGTCTGGGGCATACAAAGATGAATAAGACAGAACAACTGGCTAGACAAATGAGTCCAATGCCCCAGGTGCTCTATGGAGCCACGTGCCAAGTGCTGTGGGAAGTTCAGGGAAAGGTGCAGTGTGCCGCAGCGGGAAGGATTCTCGGAGTGCCTGGTGTCTGAGCTGGGTGCCTGGAAGGAAGGATGAATGGGTCGTAGCAGATGAGCCAACAGGAAGAGAAACTAGACTGATTCATTTCTTTCTTCCTTCCTTCATTCCTTCCTTCATTAACTCAACCAGTCTTTCTGGATTACATGTTTTGTGGCAAGATCTGTCCAAACTAGAAAAAAAAAAAAAAAAAAACCAGTCTTTCTGGATTACATGTTTTGTGGCAAGATCTGTCCAAACTAAAAAAAAAAAAAAAAAAAAAAAGCATTGTCCCTGCCTTCAGCTAGCTTGCAGTCTAGTTGTGATATAAGTAAGAAAAAAGGCCAGAATACATAGTGAGGTAAGGCAGGACCAACACAGGAAAAAATTAGGTGTTTTGAGAGCCCACAGAAGGCACTAACTCCACAAATGAAAGCATGGTGTGAGAACAAGTGTAGTAAGTTGGGGAACAGGATGGTCAGAGCATATAACCCAACAGGAGATTAGAGAGAAATGAGGCTGGAAAAGATAGAACATGAAGAGTCTTGGGTTTTATTCCTTAGGCAGTGGAGAAAAAAGCATTGAAGACTTTAAACACGTGAGTGATATGATCCTCTCACGTGTTTAAAGTCTTCGATGCTTTTTTCTATTTTTGTCCAAGGAAGACAACTCTGGGGGCAGTGTGGGGAACTGGTAGGAGAGGCAAGAGGTGGAAGCAGGAAGACCAGGTTGCAGCGGTTTTCGTGGGTCCTGATTTTTCTCCTGCATGTGCACCCCAGTATGTCAATTTCCCTCTTTAAGCATGAGGCCAGAATGGAATAAAATATTCTAGGTGTGGACTGACTAGCACAGAATGCCATAAGATAGTTAATTATTACAGATGACCCTCTTATGTTATTGTTGTAGGGGAAGGCTATATATTTTGATAACATATCACAGTTCTGCTTCGTATGGAACTTATTATCAACATAAATTCCTGGGTCACATTCTCATTTACTGTGGCCAAACACCGGTTCTCTCATCTGACATTTGGATATTCAGTTATTGGTACCAAAATGCAAGAATTCCCATTCATTCTTGTTAAGTGTCATTTTGGTAGCTCTGTCCATTCATCTAACCCACTAGAATTATTTGGGATCCTGCGTGTTTTGTCAGTGTATCTCTATCTTGCCTAGCTTTGCAGCATCTGCAAATTGAAATATCATTCCCATGATGCTCTTATTTAATCCAATTTTTTGTCCAGGCCACGGAGAGGATGGAATATTCCATTTATAAATTCAGTAAAGCTGCTTCATAAGACACCATATTGCCGTCATGTTCAAAGATATCAGAAGAATTGAAGACTCTTTTCCCCACCCCCCCAAATACTGGATAAACGATGGCATTGTTCAGGACAATTTGTTCTTCTTTTTCTTTTCTTTTTTTGAGGTGGAGTGTGACTCTGTTACCCAGGTTGGAGTGCAGTGGTGTGATCTCGGCTCACTGTAACCTCCACCTCCCAGGTTCAAGTGATTCTTCTGCCTCAGCCTCCTGAGTAGCTGGGATTACAGGTACACACCACCATGCCAGGCTAATTTTTGTATTTTTAGTAGAGATGGGGTTTCACCATGTTGGTCAAGCTGGTCTCGAACTCTTGACTGCGTGATCCGCCCACCTT